GAATTCTATTTTTCTAAAGTTCGTAAGGTGTTTTAGTTTTTTTTTTTTGCTTACTAAAATTCTATTGATGACGTAGCAAGCAGTATTAACGGCCTCGGCCCAAAAGTACTTAGGCAAATTATTTTCGTTTAACATGGTCCGAGCCATTTCTTGCAATGTGCGATTCTTCCGTTCTACTACAACATTTTGCTGAGGTGTTCTAGGAGCCGAAAAGTTATGTTCATATCCTTGTTCTTTACAAAAATCATCAAAACCAATATTATCAAATTCTCCACCATGGTAACTTCTAATTGTTGTAATAGAATAGCCTTTTTCATTTTCAAGTTTTTTACAAAAATGTTTAAAAATTCTCAAGGCTTCTTCTTTTAAGCTTAAAAATATGACCCAAGTGAATCTTGAAAAATCGTCGACTATAACAAAAGCGTAATGTTTACCACCTAAGCTAGCTGTCCTAGAAGGTCCAAAAAGATCCACGTGGAGAAGTTGTAAATGTTTTATAGTTGAAAAATAAAGTTTAGGTTTGAAAGAATTTTTTACTTGTTTTCCAAATTGACAAGCATCACAAATTTTATTTTTTTCAAATTTTAAATTTGGCAAACATTTTACAAAACAATTTTTAGAAATTCTTTAAAGAAGATCTATGCTTGCATGCCCAAGTCTTCTATGTTATAACCATGATTCTTCTCTCAAGCTAAGTAAACAATTTTCATTATCTTCAAATTCAATACTTATAATATAAACATCTTTACTTTGGTTTCCTATGAAAATCACCTCTTTAGATATAGCATCCTTAATAAGGCATTTTGAAGAATCAAATTTTATATTATAACCTTTTATCACATAATTGAATAATACTTAGTAAATTATGTTTGAGGTTATCAACAAGTAGGATATTTTCAATTGAGGGAGTTGAGTGATTACCAATGTTTTATCCCCGAAGGTTACATGTCCTCCATTCTTTTCTTTGAAATTTGATAGCAATGATCAATCTCTGGTTACATGCTTTGAACAACCGCTATCTAAGAACCATCTTTTAGTTTTCTTCGGTTCCTACAAGAAAAATTTAAATTTTGATTTTTGGTACCCATACAAACTTGGGTCCTTGATAGTTAGCTTTAGTGGATTCTCGAATCCACTTATGCTTGTTTTTAAAAAATAGTTTCTTTTTAGCTACACAATTAAAGGCTCCATATCCACTCTTATTACAAAAACTACATGTAGTGTTAGAAGCTTTAACAAACATGTTTTTGAGGGAGTTTTGTTTTAAAGAGGGTTTATATCCTATTCCCCCTTTATCAAAAAGGGATTTTTGAGTACCGAGCATTAAATCAGAATTTTTCTTTCCCTCGATGAATTTATGAATGATTCTTGTTAAGTCATCAACTTTTTCTTTCAAAACAATGTTCTCTTTTACTACAAAATCATGATTAACATTTTCTTGTTGCTTTTTCAAAATTTTATTTATTTCTTCTTTCAACAAAGAATTTTTCTTTTTAAGGATAGCATGACTTAGGGCAAGTTTTTTAAATTTCTCAAGCATTTCATCATAAGAATTTGAAAGCTCATCATAAGAATATTTTTCATCTAAACGTACCTCGTCTTCGATTGTCATGAAGCACATATTTGCCACTTCGTTTTGACCATCATTTTCACTTTGTTCTTTATCGTCGCTATCATCCCATATCGCTTGGAGTGCATTTTTCTTGAAATTTTTCTTTTTATTTGGACATTCGGTTCTCTTGTGGCTCGACTTATCACAATCATAACAAATAATCTTTTTGCTTCTTTCTTCCCTTTTTTCTTCTTTCTTTTGAAATTTTCGATTATTGCGAAAGCCTCTCCATTTCTTGACAAAAAGAACCAAGTCATCGAGCTCTTCATCACTCATGTCTTCTTTTGATGTTCCTTCTTCAATTGCCGATTTTAGTACAATTTGTCGTTTGTGAGGCTCATTTGATTCCTCCTTGTTTTTTCTTGTTTTCTCCTTAACTTCGACATTATTTAGCTCATAGGTCATTAATGTGTCATAGAGCTCCTCCAAAGGATATGCATTTATATCCTTGGTATTTTCTATCAACATTCTTATTGGGCTCCACTCCTCCGACAAGGACCTAAGTATTTTACTTACAAGTTCACTGTTAGTAAATTTACGATTATAACCTTTAAGACCATTTACAATATCGGTAAAACGTGTAATCATATTAAAAGTGGGCTCATCTTGTTTCATAAAGAAATTTTCAAATTCTTTAACCAACAAATATATTTTTGTTTCTTTAACCTTGTTTGTGCCAACATGAGTGACTTCAAGAGCATGTCAAATATCATATGCTGATTCACATGTGCTTATTCTATTAAATTCATTTCTATTAAGTGCACAATAAAGCAAATTCTTAGCCTTGGCATTTAAGGATAATCTTCTCTTATCTTCTTCATCATATTCTTCTCTAATTTAGAAATAGTATGATCCGATTTACCATCTATTTTAATAGTTTTAGTAGGAACATATGGACCAAATTTGATAACTTCTCAAATATTATAATCAATAGATTGCACATATATCATCATTCTAGCTTTCCAATAATTGTAGTGTGTGCTATAAAAAAAAAGGGGGTCAATTAGTGGAGTGTCCCTCTAGAGTTTGAAACACTTGGTTAGTCATTACTCAAAATTGTAAAATCTTTTAAAAGTGAGTACCTTACTCTGATACCAATTGAAAGCCCAAGAATGACTAACCAAGAGGGGGCTGAATTGGTTATTAAAACTTTTCGAAAATTAATTCTAGATATTTCTATTGCACCAATATGAAATTGAATAATGAAGATTATGTAAAGCTAATAAGTAAAAGGGATAGAGAATTCAAATGATTTAATAGGAGGTTCGATCCAACTCAACCGATCTACGTCCTCCGTTACCAAGTTCTCCGTCACGAGTAAGGTCTTTTTCACTATATTGAGTGACTTATGGGGCAATCTAACCCTTACAACGCTTCTGGTGAGCTCCGATCATTTTACAACCGTTAAACTTTTCGGGACTTCAACACGACCCACAATTCAATCAAAAGTAAGCTTTACAAAAATGAATCTTCTCCCACAATAAAGATATATTCAAAGTTGAGTACAATGGAGAAAAGTATGCTAATACTTTAATGAATGACAATAAGTAATGCTCAAGTATTAGGTTTGAAAAACTTTGATCAATGATTTTCAAAAGTAAATTCAATCAAAAGTTTTCCAAAAGTGAATGAATTGATAAAGATAAATAAGGAATAGAGAGTTAAAGCTTGAAGTATCTCAATTTAATGCTCTTGGAAGTGATAATTATTAATGCAAGAGGTTGGGGTATTTATAGAGTCCAAAACATTAAAACAAAATCTGAATTTGCGGATGACTCGTCCGATCAACCGCCTCCTGTCCGGAGGACCAATATAGCTGTTTGTACAGTAAAAATTAGAAGTCAAAATGGTCAAATTCTGGACCGTTGGAGGAGTCCGGTCAACCGCCTCTCTGGGCAGTTGACCGCCCTGCAGTGCGATCTTTTTACGTTTTGATCTCGTTTGTTCCGATTTAAAAGTTTTGAAGTGTATAGACTTTTGGAGAATATTTTTAACTAAATTTTCATAATAACAATGTCTTTAAAATCCATATGTCATTTTCGTGTTTGATCAAAAAGGTTGCATTCGAATTATTTTAGTGCACAAAAATTGTTTTTAATGCATAACAAGATTTTAAGCTTAACTATTCTTTGTCAAATATCAAAGCATTAGTACCTTTACATTTTACCTAAGAAATCAAGTCTTTACTTTGAAATTTGCCTCGTCTTGATCTTTCTTTGATATCGTCTCTCACGCTCTTGATCTTGATCTTTCTTGGCATTTATCTCTTAAGGTTTTTGTCTCGAATTATTTGACTTGAATACATGGCTTCTATTTTGATTTTCACTTGAAGTCCGATAATACATGATTGATTTTAACATTGAACTATCATTACTAAAAAGAATTTGTTAGAAATAAAAATATTCTTGTTTGTTATGATCAAAATATTGAGGATTAAATTGACCATATGTCAACAACTTAGACTCGTTAATCCACTTTATTACTTGTACGTGACTCATGTGATTGCAACAAACATATTTTTTAGTAAACAATTTTTTATGATACTATGTGTTGGTCATCAATCTTGATCATTCATGGTTAATGTAGAGTGGAAACCTATTAACTCCTCCACTAACATGTTTTTCCAATCAATTACTTCATTTCTTTCATATCTAATGCTTCTTGTAACTTATTGTTTATGTTCGAGACAACCATATACTTTTTCTAATCAAAATATGAAATTCTACTTCGATCTTTCCATATTTATCTATTAAAAATCGCAAATATGAAATTATACAAGATAATTACGAAATTTTCTTGATAGCAAAGGACAATGCATTTTTCACATAAAAAGGAAACGAAAAGACAAAAATAATTATTTTAAAATGAAATTTCCCTGCAAGAAGGCAAAGTCAAAAATAACAACTCCATTTCGATTGTGCAGGCCATGTATTTTAAAATTTTGACAAGATCTTATCCATCTAATTAAATTAAACAAAGAAAATTGAAAATTTCTAAGAAAATCAGTCAACAAAGAATATTAACGAACCAAATCATTGTTCATAACTTCATATCTTTAATTTGATGTGTAGAAAGCCACGACCAGACAACCCTAGACCTACATTTGCACGTGACCTGAATTACTGTCACGTGAATTCCTTTAACTCCTGACGAGAAAAAAATAAAAATAAATTATATTTGATACAGATTATTTGACATTCATTTTTCTCCAAACTCATTTTTAATCACACAATTTTTCGATAAATTAATTTCTTATGTGAACCCAAATTTTTTTCTTTTTTTACTTTTTAACTATATATTATAAAAGAAAATCACTTTTGACAAAATTTATTATTAAAAAAATCTACACCAAGGAGACCTAAAGTAAACATTTGGTCAAGAACATAGATTGAGAAAGAAAAAAATAATAAAAAATAAAAGTTGACTATATGCAAATGACAGACCAAATTCATACTTACAAAAATACCAAAAAAGTTGATGAGTTTACTTGCATTGATTTGATCGCTCAAGAAATCCTTGGAACACGACTTTCTTATTATACTCCTTGAAATTTGATTCATCAAACTCCTTTGATGAATCCCTTTTCATGTCGAATTCATTTTCTTGCTGCGTTCGAAAACTAGTGATGATATAAAAGCATATGGCCGTGCAAAGAATGGCACATAATTTGCCCCAAATTAACATAATTCCTAGTATTGCCACTAGAATTGATATCGCAACGAGTGACCCAAATTTTGCATCATTTTCATTTGATCCACGCCCGTAAATTCCTTGTCCAGCCACTGATTTTGAGAGTTGCTGACTAGTTTTTGACCGGCTAACATGGTATCTAATTGTCCCATTTTCTCCACCCAAACTTTTGATCTTTTCAAGGATGATGTGCTCACCATTATCATCTGTCATGGCCTGAAGTAGCAATAAGAACCAATTAGGTCTCTGGGTATTAAAATCAAATTTTTAGTAGATTTCGATAAAAGTTTATGAAATATATAATTGACAATTGATGTTGTGAGTCCCATGAAATACGTGATAAAAATTAATTGTTGATTTTGGCTTAGACATAGGCTAAATTTTAAGTCAAATATTTACTCCATCTACAAGAAATTAACTTAAATTGATCGTCGACTAGAGCATGTTAAGCCCTATTTTAGGTGCTTATTTAGCCCATGTTTGGTATTCATTTTCTAAAACTCATTTTTTCTGCAAATTCATTTCAACCACATATTTTATGGAATCCACAATTTTTATCAACTTTTTAATCATACATATCATCAATTTTTATTAAAATTTTCTAAAAATTTGATTTTTTAGCAAAATCAAATAAGGGCTTAAATAATATGCTTTTGTGTATAAGTAAAGTACGCTTTTAAACATGACCAAACATAAAGATCAACTCGACTTGTCTCTTAGGAAGTTAGGAATCAATACTCTCTTGGTTCTTAATTAAGACGATCACATAATATGTACCTCACTAGATTTGTGGATGCCAACTTGATCAGGTTCTGCTGCCATAACCATGTTGAGATTAGTACCAGCCGCGGCCGGAGGATGATCACTTGTAGCATACATATTCATATCTTTGTCAAGAACATGAATTTCCTTGCTTGACCTCAACTTTGGGGCAAATTTGGAGACGACGTTCACGGGAACAGTTTTAGCTGACGGTTTTTTCATTCTTCTGAACCAATACCGGGAAATTCTTCGGCCACCATATTCGTCTTTTCCGCCACCACCACTGACGCCACCAGATATCTTTTTCTCCTCATCATCCTTAACTAAAAATCCAAAACAACCCAGAAAGCAACTGGTTCTATGCTTTCTATTACTGGTTTTCTTTATTTGATGAGACATTGAAGAGATGGATAAAAGCCACCAGCATCAAGAATGATATGGCTGCTGGTTTCTTGATTTCTCTCTATGGTTGAACTCATGGCCACTTATTCTATTTGATAATGTAAATTTGTTGGAATTTTCTTATTCTTTCCTTAATATATAAGAGATTAGTTGGAGGAGGATTGACTTGGACTTTGTCACAGCTCAATTCTTTTACCTCTAAACACGTTTTCGAGAACTCTTAATTTTCAGTCGTCGAGGATCATCTGGTACTCAATATTAGATAATATTTATATTTTAAAATTTGAAAAGGGTCTCGATTCGAAGAAAGTAAATGGGAAAGGGTTAAAGAATCTAACTAGTAGTAACTTTTCGATTTTTATTTTACCTAAATCGGATCGATTATTCGTGTTAGAGATTGTTTACCAAAAAGTGACAGGTTGGTAGAGAGTTAGTTAGCTTTGTTTTCAAAAAGGTTTTGACGACAGTTTGATTAGTTAAGAATATCGTGAGCCCAGTGTTACTTAGTGAAAATCAATTTTGGATTCTATCCTATTCGTATACTAGCCATCGTGCCATGCACATTATCTTTAAATCTTGTAAAATTAGCATTTTATTATTATTAAACATTAATGAACCATTGATTTTTCTTTTTAAGAAATTAAAATATTCGTTAACCATGGCAGCATTTTTTAGTTCATACACGGGCATCAAATCCACTAAAAAAAAAAAAAAAAATGGGAGTTTGATTTTTTTTTAATATAATGATTTAAGTATTAAAATTCACGAGTTCACCATAATTATTCTCTTAATTAATATCAATTACCAAATTTTGTAACAATTGATTATATTTACCCAGTGGAATTCTTCTAACATATTCAAATCATGTTAGAGTCTCATTCTTTGACAAAAATGCATTTTGAAATAGTATTTTGATAGACAATCTATGGTTAAAAAATAAAGAAAATTTTTGGGTTTGCTTATAATATTATACATATTTTTGTTAAAATTAGTCATCAAAATCGTCAATATATTTTTGTTGTTAATATAGATTATAGATCAAATATGAAAAGAATTGCAACAAAACTTAAGTATATTGAAAAATATCTAGATGCATTTTCTTGGAACAATATTCCTAAATTTTCAATACGAGCAAACATCGTATTTATAAGTCGAATGACCAAAATTCAACCACCTTAAAATATAGCGAGCAATCAAATACATCTTTAAAAGTACAGTAAACAATCAAAAACAAATATTTTCTTATGTATCAATTTGGTGTGTTGTGCTCGGTCACATAACGGCTTTTGGATGCCATATGTCCGTTTCGTTAGTCATATTACCAATTTAATTAAAGTTGTGAAATAAATATCGAGTAACGTCCAATAATTTGATAAATTTAATAGCCAAAACTCGATATCTAAAAGCTTCCAAATCAAATACACAGACGTAAGTTTAGTTATTATTCTTAAAATGGTAAAAAACTTAAAAGGATTTGCTTAATGAGCCTAGTCAACAAAGTTTCTTGGTAAAATAGCCTACACTTAATAACGTTTGGAAAAATAGCATTTACTCTATTTCATCATGTGTTAATGTCTCAAATACCCTTATTGTGAAATGTCTAAAATGCCCAATTTGAAATCAAAATTTACCAAATTCTCCAAACATAGATCCTACTTTCATTCTCACTTTTCATACACAATTTAAAATCAACAGCAAAACGGCATGCCACCTTTTTAAATGATTGGGTGTCATTTTAACTAATTTCGTGTTCATTTTACTTTATTCACTCTTATCCACGTGAAAATTATATAAAAAAGTGTTAATCTTATTTGAAGTGAAGTTAAGGGTTCGTGACCCGAACGGCATGATGTTGTTATAAACCGTTCGATGACGTTTAACTAATTTTTGTTTTCGTTTTACTTGCTCTCTCATTTTCACATTAAAATTAACATAGAAACGTTTTAACAATATTTAGAGTGAAATCAAGATCTCATAATGCCTTGCTGTCATTTTAAATGATTAGGTGTCATTTCAACTAATTCCATATACGTTTCATTTCATTTTCATCCATATTTACATGAAAATGAACGAATGCATTTTTTATTACATTTAGACACCAGTATCAATACAAAGTTCCTGCGATAATGATGAACACTATTGTTTTATGAGTAAACTACACTAGACTTAACTACGAACTAAGTTAGGTAACCTAAATTCGATTATATTCAAATTATGAGACAAGATGCTAAATAATTTACCTTATTTTTTGTATAAGTCTTATAAAATTTTTCGAGATATTAATGATTGGTTTTGAAGTGAAATCGAGACTTCAATAACCCAAAATGGCATGCTATCATTTTAAATTCCTGAGTGCCGTTTTAACTATTTTTGTGTCTATTTCACTTTATGTTCATTCGTATCCATATGAAAACAAACGAATGCAATTTTTCATTACATTTAGATACCAAAGTCGCTACAAAAGTTAACGAGATAGTAACCAACAATATTGTTTCGTAAGTAAACTACGCTAAATATCACTATGAACGTATGTAATTAATTTGAATTCAATGATACTCCAACTGTGAGATAAGATACTCAACAAATTAGTATGTTTAACTTATATAAGTTGTCTAAGATGTTATGAAATATAATCGAATAGTTTTGGAGCGAAATTGAGACCTCTAGACCTAGAACGACATATTAGTTTCGAAGTGAAATTGATACACCGTGGCCCAAAATGGCATTTGGTCATTTTAAACGTATGCTTGACGTTTCTACTCATTGAGTGTTTATTTCGGTTCATTCACGCTATAACCATGTGAAAGTTTAGGGATAAAAGATTGTACTACATTTCGACGTTGTGATCGACACATTTGTTTAAACTATAGTGAGTCACATCATACATTCTATTGAAAACTACACTATATTTAACTATAAAGGAAAATGTAACAGGTATGGTATACAAAACATAGCGTGTACAATCGTTCAACTCGTATGTCTTATCTATGATGTTCCAAACATAGTTTTTACTAGTTTCGGAGTGAAATTGATATCCCGTGACTCAAAACAACATCTAATCATTTTCAACGTAAAGCTGACATTTCTACTCATTTAGTGTTCGTCTCGATTCATTCACGCTTGTAACCACGTGAAAGTTTAGATATAAAAGTTTTAACTACATTTCGACGTTGCGATCGACATATTTGTTCAAACTATAGAGAGTCCCTTCATAATCTGGTAGAAAATTACACAACATTTGACAATAAAAAAAAACGTAAGTAGCAAGTATTGTATCCAGAACATAGCATGTGTAATTGTTCAATGTGTACGAGTCATGTATGATGTTTCAAAGCATGTTTTACTAGTTTCGAAGTGAAATCCTACCACGTGACCCAAAACGGCATCGATCGTTTTAAACAGGTGGATGACGTTTATATTCATTTAGTGTTCATTTCGATTCATTCACGTCCGTAACCACATGAAAGTTTAGGGATGAAAGTTCTAACTACATTTCGACGTTGCAGTCGACACATTTGTTCAAGTTATAGTGAGTCATTTCATAATCCGGTAGGAAACTACACTACAGTTGACAACAAAAGAAAAACGTAAGTAGCAGTTATGGTATCCAAAACATAGCACGTGTAGTTGTTCAATGTGTGAAAGTCATGTATGATGTTTCAAAATATGTTTTACTAGTTTTTTAGTGAAATTGGTATCCCGTGACTCAAAATGGCATTTGGTCATTTTAAACGTATGACTGATATTTTGACTCATTTAGTATTCGTTTCGATTCATTCACGCGTTGTAACCACGTTAAAGTCTAGGGATGCAAATTTTAACTACATTTTGACATTGTGGTCGACACATTTGTTCAAATTATAGCGAGTCGCTCCATAATCTGGTAGGAAACTACACTATACTTGACAACAAAAAAAAACTTAATTAGCAATTATGGTATCTAAAACATAGCATGTGTAGTCTTTCAATGTATGATGTTTCAAAGTATATTTTACTAGTTTCGGAGTGAAATCGATATCCCATGATCGCAAACCGCATTTGGTTGTTTTAAACGTGTGACTAACATTTCTACTAATTTAGTGTTCATTTTAGTTCATTCACACTCGTAACCATGTAAAAGTATAGAGATGAAAGTTTTAACTGCATTTCGATGTTGTGGTCGACATATTTGTTCAAATTATAGTGAGTCACTTCATCATTTTCTAGAAAACTACACTTCACTTGATAAAAAAGAAAAACGTAAGTAGGAAGTATCTCATCCAAATCATAGTATGTGTAGTCATTTAGTGTGTACGAGTCATGGATGATATTTCAAAGCATGTTTCACTAGTTTCGGAGTGAAATTGATACCCCGTGACCCAAAACAGCATCTGATCGTTTTAAATGAAGTATTGTCGTTTTGGGTTTAGGTTTTAGGGTATTTGATTTATGTTTTAGGGTATAGGATTTACAAAATAGAAAAACATGTAATTATTCAACATGTACAATTCATATATGATGATCGAAACACTATTTATTAATTTTGAAGTGAAATCAATAGCCCGTGATGCCAAATGGCATCTAATCATTTTAAATGGAAGGTTGTCATTCAGGGTTTAGGTTTTAAGGTATAATGTTTAGGTTTTAGGGTATAAGGTTTAGAAAACAGAAAAACATGTAATTGTTCAAAATGTACAAGTCTTATATGTTCAAAACACTATTTTACTAGTTTTAGAGTGAATTTGAGGTCTCTTGACACAAAACGACATGTTATTATTTTACACGTAAGGGTCCCATTTAGGGGGTAGAGTATACAAAAATATAATACATGTAATCGTTCAATATGATCAAGTGAAGTTGAGATCCTGTTACCCAAAACCACATGTTGTCATTCCAATTTTTATTTTTTAGTGAGATCAAGGACACAAAACAACATGTTGTCATTTTAAATGTATAACTGTCGTTTTCCAGATTGGTTAAATTTGCGTAGTTAAGTATACAATCTGTTTTTCCATTGATAAATATACAAGCTATCATAAAACTGCAACTATGTTTCAACCCTGACTACTTCAATCTTTGAATAAAACTTTCATATAATGCAAAACATTGCAAAATTTTATAGTTGCACTAGTCAGCATCCATTACAAAATCAGCATTCATGCACTTATTTCCAACTAAATCATACAAAACACTCCAATCTAGACAAAATTAGCATCTAAGTCCTATATCCTCCGATCACATAAAATTGAAAAAATACAATGAAAACAATTATGGTAATTTCAGAGTGAAATCGAGAATGTGGCCCAAAATGGCATGTACCACTTATCTATGAACGTCATCTAACATCTCCCGAAAGTAGTCAAGTTTTTTGAAGGGAACACTTCTGTGAAGGACTCCTTTTAATTCTATCTTCAACGATAATCACATACTCAAATGGGTGATCCATTTCTACAATAAAAAAAATCATAAAATGTTCATGTTAATTAATCAATGAAAAGATGTAAATGATATGCATAATCTAACAATATGTGTTCAAGAAAGACGACCTAATTTAGTTACGTCTAATTCAAATGAAAATGAGTTATGATGAGAGAAACTAATAGACGACAATTCACAAGATCCCTTAATGAAAATGGCAAGAATGAAATCACTATCCAAATCCACATGGATTATTAATTCTGCTAAAAATATCCCAATATAATATTTGATCATGCATTTTTTTTTTTTTTTTGCAATTCTGAAGTAATTGAATGTTAAAGTAAAACAAAGAGGTATTAGCTAAGATTAACAAAACATAAGCAACTTTGGGTCTAACACGTGCCTTAACGACCGAAGTCACCATTCCCCTAACTTTTACCTAATTAGTACTATCTTTACTTATAAATTATTGCATAAGTCCCTAGTTCTTAACTCGAAAACCTATGATAAAGAATCACTTGCCCAATAATACTTTTATAGAACTTACCCTTTAACTTGTAGAGTTAAAGGCATCGTTAACACACATAGAATTTCTACAATTGTTCTCTGTTTTGGTGGAATCATTCTAAACCTATACATTATATGTAGATCCTCTATAAGTTGTTCACTGTTAAAATTCTTTATTCCTACTATGGTTAAAATTGCATTGATTCATTTAATTATAATTTTGGCTAACCAAAAACCTTAAAAATTTCAAGGTGGAGAATGTGAGGGTGAAAATACGTTCAATCTCCTTCAACATACATATCAATTACTTCAATAAAATCCAGGAAACTTATTTTTCATTAAATAATTACTTCTTTAATGCATAACTAATTGAATGAGAAAAAAATAGACAAACCCACATAAATGAATGCATACCCAATTCAACCGCTAGTCTTATAAATCCTTACTTCCTGTTCTTGTTTAAAATTATATCTAAACACTCGTATACCCAATAAAAACCATTAGTACATACAAAAAGTAAAAAAAGAAAGCGTCAAAGAGCAACAAACTCCCCAAATTTAACCATTGATCGAGGGTTGTCAATGCTACCAAAAAACCAACATGAATGGATTAGAAAGATGGTTAAGATACAAGAGACTTACTTTCAAGAAAAAAACAACTCAATGGGATACAATAACAAAATATTAACGTGTTGAGAAGCCAAAATTTTTCACAAAATTCACACAAAATCTTTCAACAATGGAAAATTGATGGCACCTTCATGCCTGAGGTTAGACAACTTAGAAATTGGTTCCTTGAATGAGCTGTTCATGTTGGTTGTTCACATTGAAAGTTGTTCGCGACGAAGCTGCTCGAGATGGTGGTAGCTTTCCAAATGGAAGAATAATTACAGCTAATCTCATTTAGAGGAAGAAGATATAGAAGAATAGGCATTTGAAAGGGAAGAAATGATGGTGATGCATAACTATACAAATCATATCAGTAAGAAAAGGCTTTAGAAATTGCTACTATCTAAAAATTTTATTTGCATAAAATACAGGAATTCTTATTTAATACAACAAGATTCGAGTCACAAAGTTTATTAACACCTTATTGGGTCATTCATACATTAAAAATGACATTTTTAGAATATTATGAATCGACATTTCTATTAAAGAGTCTAAAATCACCTCGTTCTCTTGACCTTGTGTATTGAGAAATTGCACTAAAAATTACCTAGGAAATAAATCATTATAACAAAGAGACGTGGCATAATTCCAAGCCCTCCATATAAATTTAGAAATATAATAGCTGCTTCCATATAAATGGTTATCAGATACAAAATTGCCCAACAACCCAATATTGCAAAAATCACAACTCCCAATGAGTTACAACTTTTTTTCTTTCTCCATTAATTTTTCAGCAATAGAGCAAAGTATAAACAGATAAATGAATCGAGTATGAATATTTGATCTTTACCATTCTTGGAGATTGATAGATACAAATGAGCAACACTTCCAACCAGTATTAATTAACTCTTTCAAATTGATCCCTTACGAGCACACCATTTTAGGGTCCTGATTCGAGATCTCCTTCTAGCTCCAATGCTTTTGTTTCTTACAAGTTGAATGCAAAGATTTCGAAAAATCTGTAGGGACTTAGTTTTGACAGATTTTCTTTTCTTCCAGGAAAATGATGTTCCGGTTCGGATTTTAATCCGAAAAGAAATGTTGGTAAAGTACGTAAGGGAAGAGATGGATTTAGGTTTCGAATGTTTCTACGTTTCAGATAGAGATGGATTTGGGAAAGGAAAAGGACAATGAAAAGGGAAAATTTCTTTGGTTGGAATGAGGGCAATTCAGGTAGTTTGTTAATTTTAATTTAAATAATTTATTTTAATACTTTTATTCTATTCAAAGGCTAAATTTGCAAAGTATAGTACGAGAGAGAGGTTATTTGACCCAATTTCCATTTTACTATTTCTCTGATTTTTTTCGACAAGACTGTTACCAAGCTGTTATTCGAAACATTCCCGTGATTTCTGATTTGGAATTTGGACTGTAAAATTCAAAAAATGGAGGATTTTGAGAAGAAGGTGACAATATCGGAACCAGTTAGCAGCAGCATGGAGGTTGAACAAGAACAAGAAAAGACGAATAGTAACGCCTCTTCCCCCAAATCAATTGTGGACTTGCTCCGTAAATTCCTTGCCGTGCAGCAACGCCGAGCCCACGCTTATGCCCGTCTTAAACGGTATGTCGACTGTCCTCCGCCGTCGCAAAAAAGAGAAAGAAAAATACATTAAAAAGAATTGTATGTAGATGTGCATTTTCTTCATCGGCGAACGCGCAACTAGTATACACGGCTCATTTTGTAAAATTTCAATGTGTAAATAAATTCTTGGAATTTTCTGAAGCTAATTCGTACGCAGGAATGACTCTTTTATGATATTTTTTTTTGTTTGTTTTATACTTTCAATTATTAATTTTTATTCGTTTCTTTTGGCTTGTAATAGGCTTCACATTTTTCACGGTGAACTCTTGTTTCTTGAATTTCTATTTTCACTAGTTTAGACCCGTGATTTGATTTTAATATGTGGTTAAGATGTAATTACATTTGACATGATTGTTCTTCTGTGCCAGGGGATTTGAAGACTACATGGCTTCAGGAGGTGAATCGGCTTATCAGCAACTTTGCAGTGAAATAACAGTTGAATTTAATGATTGTTCGAAGCAGGTAAATAACATTAACTGATAATTAGTTTGAAAAATGTCGGTACTGTTAGATTGATTCCTGATAATAATTTATACTAAATCAAACAAAATTGTGTGTGTAACATTGGAAGTTACACATTAGTAGGTTCAAGCTTTCATGGTTTCTTCAGCAGACAGACTTGAATTAAAATTCTGACTCAGAACCATGAATTGGAGAATGGAGAGGGGGCGGGGGTATTGTTTCTTGGCTATCCTATAATTTTCTTAACAACAAATTGTTTAAATTGTTTTTTCTATTCACAGGTTGTTGAAATAGAGTCTCTATTTCTGAGTCCTGATTGCTGCAGAGACGATCTAGCTCACTTGCTCAGATCAGTTCAAACACGAGAAAAGGATAAATTGCAGTTGGTATGTAGGTCAAATTGTGATTGGCTTTCCTATCGTATCTTTTCATATCATGAAAAATGCTAATATGCTTCTAATAGTTTTTAAATTATTATTTTGATTGAACACACTGAGCCATTTGTCATTGTAAGGGACAGTTCTGATGTTTATATCCAGATCTCTTAAATTGCTTATTTTAAAAGGGGAATAAACTATTTCACGTGTTAAGAATATGCTTAAGTTTTGGCAATTCTTCTAATTGTGAATGGTAGCAAGAACATTATTTAGCATTATTTGTGACAAATGGTAGAATAACACAGAGAATTGAGAATAAAATAGGTCAAATAAAATTGTACTAAACCCTACTCATAGTCTTGAAAATTTTCTCTTATTATCTCTAAATCATGGATGAAAAATCGACAAATTTGAAATATATATTGTGGTTCATTATATGTTAGCTACTAAACAGATTTTATCTGCCAGACACAATAGGCGGAGTTAATTTACACTAAACCTTTTTTACATTCAAATGGTACAAAAGTCTAGTTTGCGAAACGGACCCTGGATTTTGGTTTTTAACAAATCTGTGGTGGATTTCGAGAGTGAGACATTTATTTTACAAGATTATGTAGATCACAACATTGTTTTCTTATGTCTTCATGCTCCCTTTTTGACTTGCCACTTCGTCAAACTCTAGACAGGTCAAACTGTAATTTTTGAAATTTTGATCTACATTCTGCCTGACATTTGGCATTGTTCATATATATTAGGCATCAATAGTGCTTCATGTTAATGCTTGCTTATATTCACAGCTGTGCCATGTGCTAATTATGAACTATCACATATCTCTTGTGAGTAAATGTAGTTTTTGGATAACTGGCATCAATGTGTCGTGTTCAAATTAGTCTCTGTCTGCTTTCATTGCTCATGCTCTAGATGCAGCATTTGAAGTTCTTTTCTTACTAGTGCACGTTTGAACTGCGTTACTTTACTTTTATTATATCTCTCTCTCTCTCTCTCTTTTCGCAACATTTCTTTCATCAGTTTTGACTTCATTTTAACTGTTTTTAAAAAGTAATACTCCGCCAACGGTTTAACGTTGCCTGAAAGAAACAAGTTGCTCTGTGATATACAAGTGACATGCCAACAATCTAACAAAGGAAATATTTTGTGCTAGGTATTGTAGAATGATCGTGTGTATAATAATGCTCCTTATTGCTTAAAAGTTGATAGAGGAGTTATTAGTTGAAGGGCATATGAATAGGAAAATGAAGATCTGATTAAATTGTACAGTTAATTATTCATAAATAATATCCAGGAAAGGCAGATAGATTGCATAACTAGCGTTGGACAATTAATACACATTGTCTATGGATTACAACATGAACATTGATGACTTATTGCAAAAAGAAAGGCTGCACAAGTTCATGGCCTATTGTTGTTTTATGTATACGCAAAGCTGTCGATCATGCATATATGTTGTTGTGTTGTATCTTTTCTAGGGATCTACGGTGCAGATTATCTGTAGTCTGCGCCAAATTTTTAGAAAATTTTCTACCTTGAAAAGTTACGAGGGTTTGGTTTTGTTAAAGATGGTAGGATTTTTTTGTCCACAGAGTTGACAATCAGAATTACATTTATTCCTATATGTACTCTAGATCTATGGTGCAGATCATTCTTAGTTCTTGATGTATTACTCTGATTTCTTTGAAAACTTTCTTTCTTGCAAAGTTTTGGTGAAGAAGGAAGTATTTTGCAGCATTTATGTAGTGTTGGAAATTGCATGGTACATTTAATTGGAGTGCGAAGCTAAAACTTTTAGTATTTAGTGATTTGCTTCTCCACATGACAAGTTAGTTCTTTTACTGTATTACAAATAGAAAATTCTTATGAGTTTTGGACTTTGTTCCAAAATGGTAGACTTTTCTATTTGTAAAATACTTTTGTATATCTTGTTATTTAAACACCATGCAACTTTCTGGTATAAAATATAGATTTGTAAGAAAAAACTACTCTGCTTAAGTTTTAGGGTACTCATTCCGTTGTCCCGCTTGCGTGCTTCATTTGCTTACAGACTGCTACTATTCAAGTGTTGAAAAAGGCTGGCCGTCCCTCTGAACGTTTGGTAAGCCATGAAAACTGCAGATTCAGGCCTTCTACAGGACATGAATGTGTTCATATCCAGAATATAACAGAAGCTTCTGGAACTGAAGAGGCAGAAGCTGATGCACAATATGATAAAGATCTCAAGGAAGCCATTAAAGGTGTGCAAGAAGCTGTCATTGCCATAAATGAATACCTCGAAGAAGTCAGGTACGAAATTGCAGCTCTTGAAGCTGAATGACTTCACATTTTTTAGTTAGTTCCAATGAACGGGTTGGCGTTTCAAAAACTTCTAGACTTTTGAGTACCAATATATTGCTTCCTGAAATATTGTTCGCTAAGATGCCATCGGATTAGTAATATGCATGGTGAGATAAAAATTTAAACCGATGCTTCCTCGTCCGATGGGATCTTAGATGCTCAAATTCATTAAAAAGGATGGGATTTCTATTGCCAGGGGGACAATATTGATGGGTTGAAAGTATATTAGAATAGAGTTATTCTACAATTTATCCTTTTTCTAAGTTTTGTAAGTAAAATTGGCAAAGATAATTGGTGCGCTTTAAACATTAGTTTTGTATTTGAAACTATCAAGTCATTGGTGACTACAAGGGAGAGTGATTCTCTGTCTCTACTTTATAAATTGCTCTTGCCCAGTTGAAATTTTACAAGTAAATAAAATCAGTTGACTGAATATTACAATGATCTTCTGATAAGCAACAAAGTTCGTTGTGTAATTTGATTATTTTCAAGACGACAGATAATGTAATGGAAAGAAGATAATCAAGCAGACTTCTAATGCTGAAAATAATCGAGAGACACTCTTCAAATCAAGAGTTGAGGATAAGTGTATAATGTGACTGTGCGGGGAGGCAAATACAGGGCATGATTTTTGAAAAATCAAAAGAAGTTTTATGAGATTCAAAAACTGCTTTTGAATTTGTTTGGCTAATTTTATGAATGTACTAGTTAGAAGAGCGTTTAGAGGAAGTTGGTGATTTCCTTTAAAAGTATTTCCAAAATATGAGCTGGCTTTTATTTGAAAGTGCTTTTAAAAATTAATTTGTAAATAAAAATTAAAGTGGCTTCTTTCAAAAGGTCTTAGACGTAAAACAAAAATTATATCAAACAAGCCATAGTTCACTATTGATAAAATAGGGACGAGCGGAGTGCATAAGTCAAGCATGGACATGGAGCAAGCCAAGTTGCTAAAGTTATTCCTCATTTCCTAATCCTTAAGGATGACCATGCTCTTCATCGATTGATTTTTTATTCTAAAAAGTCATAAAATTGTCATATTCAAAAGCCAAATCCATAATAAAGATGTAAAGGGATGCGTACCAATGAGTTGCATGATCTTCTCCGTCCCTTGGTTTTTCAATTTGTTTGAATCCCTACTTTTCTCTCATCATTTCCAAAAGAAATAGAGTAAAAAAGGAAATCCAAGATCAATGAGTGAGTTGATAAGAAACTTAATATCAGCACAACAAAACATGTATTCATATACATAAACACGTACATTTGACTGCAAACATGAAATTTATATGAAAAAAAAATAAATTTTAAACAATTCAATTGTCTTTAACTTATTTGTATGGAAATTAAATGTATTTGATTGGGTTAGTTTTCAATTATAGTTGTTCATTTTTTATTGGTGGATAGATAAAAGAGAAAGAACATCAATGAATTACTTGTAAAATAAAAATCACTCTAGAAAATATTTTCTTTGTTTTTGAGAACAGTATAATCACATAACCAAAAGTTGAAAAATATTTCTCATAGAAAAATTTGTCGATCAAATACTACAACAGTAAGAATTTGGGTGGAAAATGAAAATTTTGATGGAATATAAAATCAATCAAATACACTCTTAGATCCAAAAACGAGTGAAGTAAAGAAAATATTTGAGCCGAGAGTTGAAAATGAATCGATTTTTATGCAAAATTCAACCATTCAAATGTTTTATTTTGACCATATTCATCAACCAAAATTAGCTGATAGTAATAACAAATTGAGGTTCCACAAATGCAAAAGCGAATATGAATGCACCATATCTATTCCAAGTATTGCAATTTCAAAAAATGAAAAGTAAAAAAATTAACATAATCAAATATAGGATAAATAAATTCACACCACCACTTTTAATAAGGGTTGTGCTTGGTGTATATAAAAGTGTTCATACATTTACATGGGTGTGAGGTCCACTCAGACCATTATCCTTTTAATAATTAGACTACATTTTAAATGAACAAAAAGTTCATAACTTTTATTAATTATCACATTTATATTTCAAATTTTTTTTTCATTGTATTCATATTCTCAAATTAACATAAATTGTTTCTAATTAAGATTTTTCTCCAAATTTTTTTTAGGATAGAGTAGAAAATTTTATTTGCTCATTGTATTTTTAAATAAGCAAAATAAAAAATAATATAAAAATTCGATTAAATATTTGATCATCATTTTAAAGTACGCTAACAATATTTTTGAACGAAAATCATAATTAAAGACAATATTTTATGCTCAATGAAATGTTAAAAAAAAGAATGTAACGAAGAAAAAAGTTAAGTATATAAGTGTAATAATTAATAATGTTAATGATTTTTAGTGTAATTAAGATGTGTATTTATATATTTTAAAAATATATATATATATTGTGTGCATATAATCACCCTCAAATGTATTAAAATAAAGCTAAATTTACAAAATAAACCATCCGCGTTTAAACTTTACGTACCGTTTTTACCAAATGTATTAAAATAAAGCTAAATTTGTTTCTGGTCGATCATTATGTTAATATCTTGAATAAATTGTATACTTTGATGGCAATTTACAAAAATACCCTTAAAATTAGGGGTGTTTTGAAAAATCATATGAAAA